TTGAATTAAAACAAGGTAATTTAATATATAATTATCTAGGGTTTGTTGTCCCCTTTGTTGAAGAAAATGAATGGGGAAAGTTCAAAAAACCTCTATGATGTTACTTTAAATCACTTAAATTCTTATGCTTTATTTTCAATCACTTAACCCTTTGCAATTTTTCATCCCCACCTCTCTTTAACATTGTTACAAATTTAACTATATTCCTACTTTACCATTCTTAGAAGAAGAGAAAAAGGTGATAAAAAAACCAAATGCTATGAAAACTTAAAATACTTACGTAAAATACTAAAAGAAAAAAATATCAAATTTGTCTAAATAAAAAAAAAAAATATAGAAGAAAAAGTAAGACCAAATTTGTTTAAAAATTACAATAGTGACAAAAAAAGATCCAATATACCTAAATAAAATAAAATAAAATATTTGATAAGTTTTTAAATGATTGTGGGGTGGAAGATGTTAAGTGGTCTGAGTCAAGATTTTCATGGCAAGGCCCAAAATGGAATCATCTGGATAGGGTATTCAAAAAGCTGGACAGAGCTTGTGCAAATGTAAATTGGAGGTTGAATTTTGAAAACTCAGAGGTTCATGTTCTCCCTAGAATTAACTCAGATCATAACCCTTTGCTTGTCAAGCTAGATTCTAAGGTGAAGAATTGGCATCCTAGGCCTTTCAGATTTCTTGTAGGTTGGATGGATCATCCTAACTTTGATGAGTTCATGGATGAAAAGTGGAATAGAGGAGAAGAGTTGAATCAAATGATTGCTGATTTTACTCCAATGCTTTAGGTCTGGAATAAGTCAGTGTATGGGGATATAAATAAAAAGAAGGCACTTTTATCTCGAAAATTAATTGAGATCCAAGGTAAAAGAGCCAGGGCAGATTGTCAAAGGTTATCTGAAACTGAAGAACAAGTGCAGCAGGATCTTAATTATATTTTGGAGTAAGAAGAAATGATGTGGTTCCAAAAATCAAGACACAAGTGGATTGTGGATGGTGATAAAAATACCTGGTTTTATCACTTAAAGGCTGTTGTTCGGAGAAGTTCTAACAAAATTTGCTGACTCAGAAATGAGGCAAATCAATGGATTGCGGATCCTAATGAGCTTAAAATCCATGTGTGCAATTTTTATAAAAATTTATTTGAGGAAGAGAATAGAGATAGGAGATGGATTTCTTCAACTAACAATTGGCCTGCTATTTCTTCAGAAGTCTGCAATGAGTTGATTAAAAGCCCTCGGTTTCAGGAAGTTGATAATATATTGTTTACCATGGGGGCTTATAAAGCTCCTGGGATTGATGGGTATCCTGCAGTTTTGTTTCAACGACAATGGAATAGAGTTTATCTTCAAATGTTTGAAGTTATTAAAAAGTTTTGGGAAGAGCCAGAATTGATAGAAGATGTTAATTTTACTTTACTGGTCCTTATTCCTATGTCTAACAATCCATAATTCATCTCTCATTTTAGGCCTATTTCTTTGTGCACTGTTACTTATAAATTGTTGTCAAAGGTAATTGTTCAAAGATTGAAGCCTATCATGGAAAAGATTGTTTCTCCTTGGCAAGTCAGCTTTGTTCCTAATCGATAGATTCAAGACAACATTATTATTGTGCAGGAACTAATTCATTCTATGCACAAAATGAAAGAAAAGAAGGCTTACATGGCAGTGAAGATTGATCTTGTGAAAGCGTATGATAAAATCAGCTGGAGTTTTTTGAGACGTATTTTGGAGGAAATTTCTTTTCCAGATTAGTTTATCAAACTGATCATGAGTTGTGTAAGCTCATAAAAAATAAATGTTCTGTGGAATGGGGGTACAACTGTGGATTTTAAACCTTCTAGAGGAATTCGTCAAGGTGATCCATTATCACCTTATTTGTTTGTGCTTGCAATGGAGAAGTTGGCTCATATAATTTCAACGGCAGTGGAGGGAGGTCTTTGGAAAGGAATGAGTGTTGGTAAAGGAGGGCTAGTTATTTCTCATTTAGCTTTTGCAGATGATCTCATGTTATTTATGGAGGCTTCAGAGGAACAGTTTCATGTTCTTATGAAGTGTATTAATTTATTTGAAGAAGTGTCCGGGCAAAAGCTAAGTGTGGAGAAAACTTCAATTTTCTTTTCAAAAAATACAAATGAAGAGTTAATTGATAGAATCGTCCAGCAAAGTAGGTTCAAGAGGGTTAAAAATGTTGGGCGTTATCTTGGTTCGATGATGCAACAAGGGAGAGTTAGCAAGGAGTTGTATGCCAATATTGTGGGGAAGGTTAAAGAAAAATTGAATAACTGGAATATGCAAAGTCTGTCACAAGCTGGTCGGATCACTTTAGCCCAATCTGTTTTGGCAGCTGCTCCTTTCTTTCAAATGCAAACCTGCAAACTGCCTACTTCTGTTTGTATGGATCTTGAAAGAATTCAAAGAGACTTTATATGGGGGGATAAGGATGGAGTCAGAAGACATCATCTCATTAATTGGAACACAATTACATTACCTAAGAAGGTTGGTGGTCTCGGTTTGAAGAGGCTAGAGGTTATGAATGATGGTCTTTTAGCTAAAAGAGCGTGGATTTTTTATTCTGATCAAGACCAACTTTGGATTCGTGTTCTCAAAGCTAAGTATCTGACCAATAATAGGAGGGGTATGTTGTTTAAGGAGAGAAATGGTGATTCCAATCTTTGGAAAAATATGTGTAGAATTTGGAAGAAGCTAGAAGAATTGCTTGTTTGGGAACTTGGAGATGGCAAAGATATTAGATTTTGGTGTGACAATTAGTTAGCACATGACATCTGCCTGCAAGATATGTTGTTGCCAGGTATGAATAATATTAATATTAATGCAAAAGTTGCGGATTTTGTTTTAAACTCAGGGAATGGGACGTCCCTACTTTGCAGCAGTGGATCAGTCCAATTGCGTTGGATTTGTTACATGCAGCTCTGCCTCCATGCTATTCAGATGGCCCAGACAAAAAGAGTTGGGCAATTGGAAACAGCAAAGCAGTAGCGGTTAAAGATGTGTATGCCTGGTTGATCAATTATGGAGCTGTAGGTGTGGGAGAAAATTCTATGTGGCAACTGTTATGGAGTTGGTCTGGTCCTCAAAAAGCCAAAGTGCTGATGTGGAAAATTCTGCATCACAGGTTGCTGGTTATGGAAAACATTGCTCGGTGGGGAGGCGGTTCTGATTTGTGTCCAGTTTGTAATTCTGATAGTGAAACAATCCTGCATGCTTTAAGGGATTGTGTTGAGGTGAAAAACCTGTGGGTCAAGTTGATTCCCATTCCTTTCACATCGAGTTTTTTTGAGGCTGATTTGAAGAATTTGACTGAGATAAATATAACAAGTACTGTGAACTTTAATTTACCTGGTAATTGGAATTCAATCTTTTTCCTTTCAGTGTGGAAAATTTGGAACTGGCGAAATGAGGTTCGGCATGGGGCTAATATCTTGGACCTTAATATAAAGGAAAGTATTATTAGAAATCTGGTTAGAGAGGTTGATCGAGCTTTTTTGTCACCTAATAGTCATCAGTTGGGTTGAAGGACTGTAGTTGTTAATATTACCTGGCAGTTCCCAGAAGCTGGTTTTGTTAAAATTAATACTGATGGGGCTGCTAGAGGTAATCTGGGACCAGCTACTTGTGGTGGTATTATTCGGGATTCTACTGGAAAGTGGTTAAAAGGGTTTGCTTTCAAGCATGGTGTCTGTACAGCCTTCAAAGTTGAACTGTGGGGGATCCTCCGTGGATTGGAACTGGCGTGGAGTGAAGGTTTTCGTCAAATTGAGATTGAAAGTGATTCAAAGAGTGTTATCTATGTGCTCACCAAGGAGGGGGGAGCAGTCCGTGAGGGTCACCTGATTACTCGAATACAGACATGGTTACAAAAAGATTGGACAGTTAAGCTTAGCCATATTTATAGAGAGAGTAATGCCTGCGCTGATTGGATGGCAAATTATATCCTGGATGCTGAAGATGGTGTCACTAAAGTTTTTATGGGAATCCTCCCACTAGTATTTATTTTTTGTATTTAGCTGATCTTTCTTCTGTGGGGAGAGATCGTGCTTTAGTTGTTGTTTAGTTTTTATTTTTTCTTTGTGGGCTGTAGCCTTTTGTTTACCAAAAAAAAAAAATGAATAAAATAGACTAAACAGAAAAATAGAAAAAAATAAAATTAAATATAATCAAAATTTACAACACAGATTTCTCTTTCTTTTATTTATATTTTATCATATTTTTCTTTTATATTTTCAATAGTGATAGAAAAACGAAAAAGTGATAAAAGAGGAAAAAAGAGACCCATCATATCTAAATGAAATAAACCAAGGACAAAAATAAATAAAAGAACAAATAAAATCAAATATATTGAAAACTCAAGATCGATTTTGTTTTTTTAGTACATACATTGATTTCTTTTTGTTCTTTTTATTTTTTCTGTCTTTGGTATATATATATTTTCGATTAGATTATTTTTAATTTTTTAATTTTAGTCTTTTCTGTTATTGTTTTGATTTTTTAACATATTTGATCTTTTTTTTTTGTTCTTAATCTTTTTTATTTTTTATTTTAGTCTTTTAATAAGTGTTCTAAGAAGGATAAAGTAAATGTATATAGTTAAGTTTCTAAAATATTAAGGAGAGGTGTGTGCGGAAAAATTATAAGAAGTTAAAGGTGTAAGTGATTTAAAACAATATCGTAAAAAGCTTTATGAACTTTTTTTAAAATAAATTTATTTTTTACATTATATAAAAATATGTGAGGCTTATATTTTTTGCGTCACATGAATCTACCAGTTTTTATACATTAAAAACATAAAGTTCTCTTATAATATAAGAAATATTAAACCTAATTTTTATTTTTATTTTAATATAATGATAGGAAATAAAACACATGACGTAATTGAAATTATTCAATTTCATTACCACCAGTTGCTTAAACCCAATTATTTATCCCCTATAGAATATGGACCGAGTGACGTAAACGACGGTCCAGGATTACATTCGAAAATCGATGTAACACCGCCCCTAGATTTAGAATTCAGACGCGCACACCTTCTTTCTCTGATCCGCTATTCCTGTTCCTCTTTTTCAGGGTTCTTCCATCAACATCACATCACACCACCGCTCTCTCTTTCTTTTCAATTCCACCCTCCATCATCTTCTTTCAACCCCTTTCTTTCTTTTCTTTCTTTCTTCTTTATATTATTATTATTATTATTATTCACAGACCTCAATTCCAATCATCATGCCTCTTCATCCACACCATGTCCATGGTGACCATTCTCAATCTCAATCCCGACCAAAACCAAACCCCAACCTCCTTTCCCTATTCCTGAAATCTATCATCATGCTCCTTCTCACCTCTCTCTTCTTCCTCTTTCTCGGCTTCGCCGCCTTCGTCCTCCTCCACCTCTTTCTCATTGGCGGTGCCGTCCACCGCCTTCGCTCCCGCCCCGCCCCCACACGCTTCTCCGCCACCCCTTCCAACAGGTTCTCCCCTCGCGACGTTAGCAAGCTCCCCCACTTCCGGTTCTCCATGGGATCCGAACCCGAACCCGAACCCGATTCACATTGCGTTGTCTGTTTGGATGGCTTCCGTTACGGCCAGTGGTGCAGAAATCTCCCCGGATGCGGTCACGTCTTTCACCGGAGATGCATCGACACGTGGCTCGTCAAGGTCGCCGCTTGCCCTACATGCCGGACACCTGTTCGATTGAATGGTTCTCTCCTTGATGTACCAAGAGACGGTTCCACGCAATTTTGGACCTGCGAAACTAACACCAATGCTCTCACCATTTTGTAGCTTGTAAGTTTTAATTTCTTTAGCTTTTTGGAAACTATGTAAGATTAAGATTAAGATTAAGTCTTTTTTTTTTTTTTTGTCTTTTTTTTTCCTTTCTCCCTGTATGTATAGTTTCTCGTACATTAATTGCAACAATGGATGGGAGAATGCCTTAAAATCTTAACTTTGTTTGCTGATTTCTGCTGACGAATTACCTTGGTTTCATTATGGTCAGTGATTATTCCTAGTTGAATTTTCATCTACTCACCTCAGGATTTAGCTAGTAGTTGATCGCTTTCGTTGTTTACTCTTAATTTACTGGCCATTACTGTGTTTCACTTGCAAGACAAAGATCCGAGCTTGAAGGTGGATTATAATCTGGGCCGTGGCTATAGTCGTCTGCCGATTCAATCATCTTCAGTAATTTGGTTATAAATTTTGGTGTAGTAAATTATCAGTTCTTGATGATTTCATGCTTATAGAATTCTTGCTGGGAGGTCCTTACCTACCTTTCTTTTTTACAAGCGACACCCTAAAGTAGATTAATTTTTCGGGTTCTCTCTTTCTTTTCAACTTAAAAAGATAGGTGTAAAAGGGAAGGGAGAAAGACAAGTGTAGGAGTAACATTGTTCTTGCTTGATGCACGCTGAGTTGCCAAGTACTTGTATTTCAAAACTGACTTTCCATCTGAGTGTGCAACTCACGTATTAATATCGGTAAGGTTGTATTTTTAATGGGAAAATGATTTGTCCTAAAACAGTTAGACAATAGAACATCTTGGTGGGGAAGAGTGGGAAATTATTGAGAGTTTTTTTTTTTTAATTTAAATATTAAGTAAAAAATTATTATTTTACTTAAAATTACACAATACTATTTAAAATGATAAACATTTTTTCCATTTTTAATTTATATGAACAATTGTTGTTGTCATATTTTTCTGGATTATTTTTAGTTGTGATAAAATTTTAAGGTACTTTGTCTTGTTTTACAGCAGCTTAGAGCGCCTGACCCTAAAAATGCTATAATAAGATAACAAATAGTTCGGTAGTTGCTATATCAAAGATTAGTGTAAATAATATAATTAAAAGTCATAGCTACTAATTATCTGTCTTACCATTGAAGATTCCACAAATTAAGTATCCTATCTTCCTTTCCCAGAAGTTTTCAATCAAATCAGTTATGCGGTAGCTGAAGAAGCAACCTTCATCCTTTTTCCTTTGGTTTTCGGTCCAGGTTTTCCCCCATGGTTTTTTTTTTTTAATGTATTCCCTTCTCTCATCCCAGCATTATCTGTTTGGACTGTTTTACCATCATTGAATTGAATATCTTTGCCCATCCAGCCAGGATCCCTTAGACCCATACCTGCTTCACTCAGTACTCACTACTGAGTTATGTTGTCGCATTACCCACTTTGCCACCATAATTAATGCCCCTCGCTTCTTTTTTGTTAATATGAGGCAATGGAGGACCGATGTTGAGGGATGCCCAATGCTATCATCCAACCAAATACAATGTGTGAGAACTTGTGGGTGCTTAGAATTTTTATGTTTAATGGATAGGTCGTGAGAAGGTATTGTGATTATGGCAACCTTATCTGTTGCATTGGGCGACCACAACAAAAGGATCATGCCATTATTGGTCTGAATACAGCCGAGAATCATCATCCTCTGGTTTCTATATGTGACCGACTGTAAGACGGCAGGCATATATTCAGTATTTATTTCCCTTGGAAAGGTTGTTCCTATGTCTTCTTACTTTATTATTTTGGCTGGTTGGCAATGGAGGTTTATATATGAATATTTGATCATGAAAAAGTGAGAATTCAATGACCTCCCTTTTGTTGGTACATGATTTCTTCTTATTAATTTCGGGTTTGTGTGATATCTATTACAATAGAGGACAGTTGCTCATATATATGTACATACAGTACCTGACATTCATATAATTTTTACCATTTGATGACAATAAATTTCACTTCACTTCACTTTTCACACATTTATACTATAATTCTATTATATACCTCAGATGTAAAATAATTTTTTCTGATGCATATAACATGCTGTCTTTTTCATTATATTGTTATTATTATTATTATGGGGCAAGTCCTGTGGTGTACTTCAAGTATGGGTCGGCTCCTTGGGATTAAACACGTCCCGCACTTTTCATACGAACAGTGATCAAAATGTCACAGTTTATCAATTTTTTTACCTAAATGCCACGGGGCCAAGTTCGTTACCCGGTGTAGCGAACTCGGTTTGCTGATGTGTCACATTTTTAGTGAATAACAAGTACCACATTTTAAAAAAAACATAAAAAAAAATGAAGTTCGCCTGCATGGGTAGCGAACTTAGTTAAAAACAAGTTTGTTTTTCCGTGTAGCGAACTCGATGTCCACTAGAAATGTGACATGTCAGTAAACTAAGTTCGCTATACCGGGTAGCGAACTTGCTCCCATGACAGATTGGGAAATAACACTGTTCGCGTGACGTTTAAGTAAAAAAATTGGTGAACAATGACATTTTGAGTTCCATTTTCATCGGTCGGCTCCTTCCGCTCAAATAGGGACGTTCAGTTTTTATTTTCTATAAAAAGAAATTAATTTATGGTCACGATCGTTTGTAGTTGTGCAGATGATCCACAGATCAATTTGGATACGCAGTCACAATAGCCAAGAAGTTGCTGACAGGTCAAGATGTGGCACAGGAGAATTCTCCACCAAGACATTATTGATTTTTGATTCCTTGAAGAGGAGTTTGGTAGAGGATGGATTTTTGATTTTCAGAAAAATAATTTTTATATTCAGTTTATGATAATATTTAAAAATTAAAATTTTAAAAAATTTTAATTTTCTAGAAATTCTAAAAAATAGCGCGTACGAAACGGCGTTATTACTTACCCCGTTAAATTGCAAAGCTTCTATTTTTGCCCCCCGTTTCCTTAATGTTCATAGGTCCCCAGTTACCATTGACATTGACTTTGCGTTTTTTGTGATCCGTCTCAATTCAATGGTACTTCTTCCTAGGTTTATTTTTATCTTTTTTTATATTATCTAATCAAGCAGGCTCCTTCGTAGATATTTCAGCACCTTAGGTGTGAAGTTATCTTTTGTCTTTACGTTAAGGTAGTTTTAATGGCGCTTTCCTTACTTTATGTACACGGACATTTCCTTTTGTACAGTCCCTCACAATCAGGTGCAACGTTGATATTCGTCAACAAAAGAAAGATAAAAAAAAATATAATAGTGAATAGTATATGATTGTGGTTATTTTTTATGGGTTTTATTAATCTTCTATTACATAATATAGGTATCTTATGTTGTAGAGAGAAACTAGGTGGGTCCCACCCATTACAAGAAAAAAGAAAAAGAAAAAGTGAGGTGCGAAAATTGAAGTAAGAGAAAATGAGATAAGCTACCTCGTGTAAAAGGAGACAAATATTTCCCATTTTTTATATCTACATTTGTAATGGTTATAAGTCTTTTTCAGTGCCAGTAATCGGTTACATTCTCTACACCACATCTTATGACAATTCCAATTGTGTTAAAAAGTTACGCGACTTCATCATCGAAGTCGAAGGTATCTTTAATTAAAGAAGTACTCTTAACAAAAGTGTCGTTGATAATATAGAAAAATAACTGTTAAAATTTATGCAACAAATTAGTTACACATTTCAATTTATGATTCTCCAAAGACTTAAAATATTATATCCAGAAACATATAATCTATTTATGGGTCATACATGAAGGAAATTCCTATAATTAAAAAGACAAAAAAAATAATAATAAAAAAATGGAATGAGACATTGTTCAATAATTTTGTTTTGTCATATCTTATCATGATCATATTATTTTTCCTACAACATAATTCTTATTTATCCCTATCTTATAAATTATTTAGAACTTGTGCACTAAAAAATTATTCTGACAAAAATATAATTAGAAAAATATATTTGTCCTTTTAAAGTATAGTTATTTTAGTTAAAATTATTATTATTTATTTAATATTTAAATTGAAAAATTCTAATTTTTTTAACTATAATTTTTGTTTCTCTCATTATACAATGCAGTAGTTTTGACTAAAGTGACATAATTTTATGTTCTTCAAAAGGATAAATACTACTTTCGTATAATAATGTATAAAAGTTTTTTTTTTTTTTTTTTTTTAGAGAATTCGTCAATAACTGATCCAGTGACTTCCTATTTTTTATTTTTTTATTTTCATGATGGCATTTGGGCTTGAATAAGCAAATAAAGTAGTTTGTATAGATTAGATTCTACTGTATCTATCGTTTATTTATTATTTTTCTTAAAAGGAATGAAAATCGATGTGGGGGAAAGAAGGCAAATAATGCAAACTTATTTGGAGATCCTCGGATGCCATGTCCTATTTCTGCTGGAACATAGTTATATTATATCCAAAAACAAATCTCTTTGTTTTCTACGAGGTTCGTGAGTTCTTATGTTTGCTTATTCGACGTCTTATCCATATAATATACCATTAGAACATTAAAAAAAAAAGAAAATTATACTCTTATGTTACATGAGATTCATCTCTTATGTTACATTCACATAAAAAGATATGCCTTTTTTAAAATAAAAAAATAAATTGGTGGACTCCATTTTATTTATATCACAACATAACATAACTTCACTCATACTACATGAGAGAAGTAGAGCCCTTAAAAATAATATCCAATTAATATAGATTCTATATTTTTTTTCAAAATACTAAATCAATTAGAGGATGGATGCTGCGCAATTGCCACGCATAGTATCATGAATAATTATTATTATACAAGAATTAGAGAGATGTTATAGTTACAATCTTTTTTTTTTACAACCTCTTACAACTATATCTTAACACCGTTGATTTCTGTCAACCAACAGTTATGATTTTCGCAAATTAAACTCATTAATTAATTATTAATTCACAATAAATAATAACCGTTGATTGACGGAAATCAACGATGTTAAGATATGGTTGTAAGAGGTTGTAAAAAAAAAAGTTGTAACGATAATCTTGCTCCAATAATTAATATGATAAACAACACAATTATTATTTTAAAAATAAACATTAAATTTGTTTAGTCAATTAATAATTAATATAATAAGTATCTTTCAGCCACATTTTTTGGATTTCTTTTAAATTTAAAATGTTAAAATTATGATCATAAATCATGATTTGATAATTGATTTTTTTCATTTAATAAAAATTTAATAAGGATTCAAAAAATTATTCTATTTGCATCTATGCTTTCGTTTTCCTTCCACGAGAGATTAGAAACCTTTATATGAGGTAGATAGAGAAAGAAAGGGAGGGAGGGAGAGAGAGAGAGAACGTGCGAAACAGAGGAGGGTGTGATGTGGAGGAGTGTTTGTGTTTCGCCAGTGAAGATGGTGTTAGATTCTGTGAAGATATTGGCTTGCAACAAAGTGCTATTCACAACCATCATGCTCTTTACAACCTTGCCTCTCTCAACCCTCATAATCTCCCAATCAATCTCCACCCACAATCTCACCTCTCAAATCCACCGTCTCGAAGCCGTTGCTCACCTCTCCCACACACGCTTAGAGGCTCGACACGTGCGCCACGAATCCCGCGACGACGCCGTTTCCCTCATCCGCATCAAAGCCCTATTCTCCCTCCCCTCCTACCTCCTCTCCCTCGCCGCCGCCCTCTCCGCCGTCCACTCCACTCTCCTCGCCTCCCACGGCAAGACCCCCACCTTCCACTCCGCCGTCGCCGCCCTCAGGCTCAACTGGATGCGCCTCTTCGTCACCACCATCTTCGTCTACGCCATCCTCTTGGCCTTCTCCCCCGTGCCCCGAGCCTTCGCCGCCCTGACCGCATCCGCCGGGTCAAGATTCGTGGTCATGGCAATCGGGTCGGGTCTCGAGGTGTACCTGATGGCGGTGGTCAGCGTGGGCCTCGTGGTATCTGTCGCGGAGGAGAGGTTCGGGTGGGAGGCTATTAAGATCGGATCGGGTTTGATGGAAGGGAGGCGGGTCTGCGGGTGGTTTTTGTCGGGTCTGTTGGTATTGTTTTCGAGTATGATCGGGTCGAAGCTGCAGGGTTTGATGGACGGTCAGGATTCGATGGGTTTTGAGGATAAAACAATTGTGATTGGTTGGTATGGATTGGTAATGCTGTGGAGTTATGTGATAATGACAGTGTTCTACTGTGATTGTAGAAGACGGCATCCAATTAGGGAACCCCAACCCGATGATGATCACCAACTTCACGAACTCTCTTTGTGATGTAATTCTAGGGTTTCTATTTTTGTTGTTTCTGTTGTAGATTTTGTTATAAGTTCGAGCTTTAACATCTTCCAAGTGTAGACACTTTTTTTTTTTTTATAACTCGAGATGTTACCTATAAATATGTATGTTTTAAATTTAGAATTTGATTGTCGGATAAAAAAAATATTTAAGTGATGTATTCTCATATTACTTTAATAAATTTAAGATTTTATATAATTATGAATATGTTATTGCTATAAAAATGTAAAAGTATATAAAAGCAACGGGCGCTAATTATTATCCTCATCCTTAACTTAACTCATTAGGTGAATTATTTAAGGTGTATTTTGATAAATTTAAAAAATGTATATAGGATATGAATTTTTTAAAATTATTATTTTGTTAAATAATAATTATCAAAACGGTTTTTTTTATATTTTTATTTTCTAAAAAAGATCTAATTATTCAATATTATTAAACATATTTTTATTTAAAATACTTTTGAAAATTAACAAAAACAAACTTTTTCCTAATCATGCAACAGATAATAAATTTTTCTATAATTTATATTCTGTCGTATAATCTCTTACGGTAATTTTTTTATTTCTAAATCAAAATTAAATCAACGATTATGAAATAATATTAGGGTTCACTTTTTCTGCAGTTACTGCAGATAAGTTATCTGCAGTAAGCCAATACGACGTCGTTTTGGGACGGAAATCATGATGTTTTTGTAATTTTAATTTATTTTAGGGTTATAATAGTCTTTATATTCGTAATTTTTTAAGATTTCAATATCAAAACGACGTCGTTTTGAGAATAAATGCAGATAACTTCTCTGCATTAACTGCGGAAACATTTTTCTCATAATATTATGTCAGAACTCAGAATTGTTAAATAGAATTAGATCCAAAATAATAAAATAATTATAAGAGATTATAGGAAAAATATTAAATAAAATAATGTGAAAAAATATTTAATTTAAAATAAAAATAAAAATAAAAATATGATATGATGACAATGACTTCAAATTGATCCCACCCCAGGTGTACGAGGATTGGATAGCATGCCAGCCGGCATAGCCAATTACGGGTATTCTAATGGAGGCGGATTAGATTACAGAACTCCTAAGTTTCACCGATAATGTTTGTCTCACATATTCTAGAATACTGGTCATTGATGGGATACGAAAAATCATAAAAAATAATTGCGATGAAAATTTTGTTTTCAAGAACTTTTTCCTGTATAATTATAAATATAATTCTCGATATTTTAACCCTGTCATTTAACCTGTTGACTCATTAAAACCAATTGGGAAGATAGCGAGATGGATACATGACGAGGGAAACCAGACCAATGACATTTAATTCTGCTATAGTATAATACCGGTCATGTCTTCCCTATTATTATTGGAGTTGTACTCCTTTTTCTAAAGCTTCACTAAGTTTTTTGTTAAAAGCACATCATTAATGTAAATTTTAAAATAAATTATTCAAATAATTAATTTTAAAATTATTTTTTAAATAATATAATCAATTGTGCATAGGAGAAAAATGCACAATTAATTTCATTCATGGAGAGTGTACAATTAATTTCCCTTATCATGAGCTCATCTTGATGTGCCTGGCAAAATTATCATTTAATCAATATTTAAATTTTTTCATAAAAAAAAAACAAGTTATCAAATTGTAATTTTTTTTGGGCGAAATAATTCAAATTGTTGATCAATTAACATTTGTTGTCTTAATTATTATTTGACTAAAAGAATACTTATGATGCTAATTTATATTCATGTGGAACGATGGAATAAAAATATGTGTGATAGTAAAATTTGAGACAGACCACCTAGATCTGTGCCACATGACACGATCTTGTGAATTATGCACGGGGTGTATACACAACTCACTTGGTTGCGCCAAGTGTTAATTGGGCACCCTTATGCATAACTAATTGCATATTTCTTCCCATATATAAACATATTGTATTATTTTGTAAAATAATTCCAAATCTGTATTATTTAAGTAATTTATTTTTTCAAAAAAAAGTAATTTATTTAATATATATTAATTACATCTTTTTGCCTATTTTGTTATTTTTTCTGTAATTATGAAGGAAAGTCAATAACTACACAAAATGGCAAACAACTACCAGAAGCAAAGGCCTCAAATTTTATGATGTTTCAAGTTCAAAGGGCTCTTGTTACTCCTCAATAACTTGTATTTATCATGAACTATACTTAAACTTTAATATCTTATAATCATGATCAATCTAATAACTATTGGATTTTTTAGATCACACGTGATTGAGCTTGCTACTGTTGAATTGTGATTGGGTTGATATGTTGTTAGCAAGATGGTTGGCGGGATGGTTGAGTTAGTACTTTGGAGGAGATTGGAGAGTTATCTGTAAAGCACTCCGATGCTCAAATTAGTAAGAGTTGAAGGTGTTCAAGTATTAATAGCAAGATGATCATATCTGGACTTAATGCCTATGTATTTATAATAGACGAACATGTTGCTTATATTGCCTTAATATGGTGGTGTTCATTCTCATTGGTGGAGAGTGATAACCTTCACAAGCTAATCTCTGGGCAAGATACCTATAATGAGGCTAAGCTTTTGTAAATGTTGCGGCATGCAGGTACCTATCTTCAAGCTATTGGTTCATGTGGGGGTTAGGGTGCTTTGAGAAGCTATTATCACGTTGTTGTAGTTGTCTGAGCACTTGGTCACATACATTAGGTGGTTGCGAGATCATCAAATTACGTGAGTTACTCATATTTTCTCCTTCACTAAGTAATAGTCTTTTAGACCTTTCACAGGTTAGACCTATAATTTCACATGGGTTAATTCCAAATCAAATCATATTATGATTTGTTGTATAATTTTATAAGAGGCATGTCAGGAAATTCATAACAAGCCCTATTGAATGAAGTAGATTTTTGGTGTAATGGGAGTAGATATTCCCTTACCAAAAATGAAAAAAAATAAATATGAAAAATAATAATCATAAAAGTAAGGTTAGTGTAAATATGTTATTATTTCATATTTAATAAAAAGATATATCTAGTAATCGGTATATCAATAGTCCCGATAAATATTTTCTACTAAATGCACGTATTCATGTCACTCATACCAGGATGGATTGTCTACTAAAGACTAATATTTTAATACTAATAGAATGAAGGTTGACTCAAATATAGAAGATTCAATCAAAAAAATGTAAATCAGTGAACCTTAAAGGCAATAAAAAGCAGGTAACACAATGCGTTCATAAAATGTCCATTGAGTACTCTTCCGTATACAACTCCATCAAAATTTTCTACTAATGTAAAGCAAGCAACGCAATTATTAGGCATCATTTACTAGAGGGAAACAATTCATGGGAAAAAAAATAATAATAACTATTTTAATAAATAATTATGAATATATAGCTGTTTCGAAACTATTTACGAATCTATTGCATTTATTCATTCTAAAATTAGGCGTGACTCGTCTGGTGTTGACACATGGCACAAAAAAGTTATCTTACGAATCGTAAAATTTTGAAAAGTCATATTTTTTGACTCGGGTATTCAAATCAGGTAAAAAAATATTTTGATTCGACATAACTTTTTGAGATCTACGCAATAACACATCATTTGACATATTTTATCTCTCATAAACACAGTTCGAATTTACAATAATAGTACTATAAGAGAGTTTAAACTTTAAACCCAAAAGTCTCTGAGTTTTGGGTTTGTGATTTAATATACAAAAATAAATGAAGATTTGGTTTGTGATTTAAATTAGAAAAATCAATTTTTTTTTAAATTTTAATATAAAAATAAATAAAGATTTGGTTTGTGATTTAGGCTTTTTGACCCTTTTGCCCCTAATTAAATAATTAATAACCAATTTGCCCCTCCCCCAGAACTATCCACCATCCTGCCCCCATTTAGTCGATTAAGTTGCACTTTTAATCGACTAAATGGGCTAAACTCAGAAATTATGAAACGCGAATTTTAGTCGACTAAAAACTCACCTTAATCGACTAAATTGTTTGCACTTTTAGTCGACTAAGAGCATTATTTAGTCGACTAAATGTCGCAGATCAGGTTTTTAAAAAAAAAACCTATTTCGCAAAGGGGGTTATTTTCAAACCCTAATCGACTAAATCGCTCCATTTTGTCCCCTCTCTCCAACCAAGTCCAAATCTCAACCCTTGAAGGTGCGATTGAAGCTTCCTTGGTTCACACTTGCGAAATCGACATTTAGGTAACGTATTCTGACTTGCATTTGGTTTTAAGTTTAGTTTTTTTTTTTGGTTTTCTCCATGCATTTGATTTCTGTTTGCGGTTTTGTGGATTTAGGTTAGGGGTAGGGTTCTAAGTTTGTTGTGAGGGTGAGGGTTAGGGTTGATGTGGTGCCTGAGGCTTAGGGTTAGGGTTATGTTAGGGGTAGGGTTAGGGTTAGGGTTAGTGTGTATGTTGCTGTTTTGTTTGGGTTGTAGTGTTTAGGGTTTAGGAATGGGGTTTTGTGTTCTGTTTTAGGGTTAGGGTTAGGGTTAGGGTTTCTGTTTCTGTTTTAGGGTTAGGGATAGGGTTTCTGATTTCTGTTTTATTTTAGGATTAGGTTTTGTTTTTTATATTGAATTTTAAATTTTTTGATATTGTTATTGTTCATTGATTTTTGTTTCCACTTGCATTGTAGGTACAGTTGTTCCCATGGTTGGCCGTAGAAGATCGTCTAGCACTGGAAATGAGAGACGACAGAAGCTACGACAAGACCGTCCGTCTTCGTCAAGGCCACAAGAGGAAGACCCCGCTGCTGTCGACCTCCCATTCAGATACTTGTTCGAGAATGACCCGGTGGTTCATGAATCTTTTGTCCGTGACTTTGTTAACCGACCGATTTGTGGGGCCAAATCACTTGATACAGCCTTTTTTGAACAAGAAGGTTTTAACATTGTGAGGTGGTTGGAGGAATCACATCTTAAGACCTTGGCTGAACAATTTTGGGGGTAGGAATCAGATTTTAGGGGTTAGGGTTCGGGTTTGGGGGAAACAATTGAGAAATAAAGGAAAATGACAATGATTTCACAATTACTATGCCTTAGAGGTGGTGGGATGAAATGGAAGGGTGATTGGAAGGTTCACAACTGACAAATAAGAGAAAGAGACCAAGAAAGGAGTTTTGATTTCGAATATAATGAAAATGAGGCCAAGAGAGGTCTGGATATAGGGTTTTTCTCGACATTTAGTCGACTAAATAATGCTCTTAGTCGACTAAAAGTGCAAACAATTTAGTCGATTAAGGTGAGTTTTTAGTCGACTAAAATTCGCGTTTCATAATTTCTGAGTTTAGCCCATTTAGTCGATTAAAAATGCAACTTAATCGACTAAATGGGGGCAGGATGGTGGATAGTTCTGGGGGATGGGCAAATTGGTTATTAATTATTTAATTAGGGGCAAAAGGGTCAAAAAGCCTTGTGATTTAAGTTAAAAAAATCTAAAAATTTATTATTAACAAGGAAAACAAAATAAAGATTTGATTTGTGATTTAACTCAAAAATCATTTAAAAAATCTGTATTAATAAAAGAAATAATTAAATAAATATTCTAAATCCCTAAAGAAGAAGAATTTTATTTTTGAAAATCATTCAGAGGCTATAAGCTTCTATCGAATCTAGCCATAAAAACCTATCCATTGTTTCATATCAGAGACGTTCCAAACTTCAGAGTTTAAGCTTCGATTTCAGGTTGAGTTTTCTTTTCTTATCCCCATTAGTCCTTTTTTTTTTCTTTTAAATGTATTTATTTTTTCTTTCTCTTAGGCATACATATATAATTCAAATGGCTTTAAAGGAAAAAGTCATAAAACAAAAGGATGTAATTTATGATACAGTTCCATAAAAATCATAAAAAATTTATATTTTTAAATTATTTTTTATTATATTTCTGTATCTTACGATTCGATATGATTCACGATACACTATACGAAAAATCGACCAAATGATACACGATACGTATTGCGATTCAATAACCTTGTACACTATTTTTTTTTTCAAACACTTGGTTGAAAGTATATATTTTAATATGACATTAAGTATCCTTATTTATAAATAGATTAATCCACTTTGGTGCCATCTTTAATTTTAGATCATTACTTAAAAGATAATGTCTCTATTCACAGTGATAAGAATACAGTCTATAGGATAAGGATAGAGAGGTTCTAGTAGGCAGAAGACTGTGTTTGGTGTTGATTCGAAAAGAACTCGAAGGCTTCTGGGTTTAAATGCCCGTATAGCACCGTTGTTGCAAATTAGAGTTGTGTTTGTGAGAGATAAAATCTGTCAAATGAGGTGTCTTTGCACAGATCTCAAAAAGTTATGTGGAATCAAATTTTTTTTATCTAATTTTGATATCTGAGTCAAAAGTTATGACCTTCTGAAGTTTTACGGTTAAACTGTTAACATTTTGTGTCACTGTCAATATTAAACCAGTGACGTCTAAATTAGGTGTGAATGTGTTGTGAGTCACATTTAATTTAGACAAGAATGACCACTTCCAATTTGGACGTTATGTTTAAAACAACAATTTATTAATAATTATTTATTAAAAAAAGTAATATTTTAATTTTTTCTTGCCAAACAATTCAGCAGTCTACTATGTGCAGGTCAATAAAAACAACGCTAAAGGACTGCTCAGGCCCTCAGGGCCATAGTAGATAATAGATATTTGATTAAACCATCACTTTATCTCTCATAGATTATCAAGCTTTCATCATTAGGAGATAAGGGAACCCAGAACGAGAAAACTTAAAATACCAATAACCACACGGTTAAAGGGAACGAATAATGGAAACAGTGACATTATCATTTATCTCAGCAACTAACTTAATGAAGCTCAGTTTTGTCTTGCTAACAGTTAGGTAAGTATGCGCGCAAGTATATATAACAACAAGTAATATAAGACTTTTGTGAGTTTCAGTTATCGTTCCCACAAGGATCTTTAGCATTTTTGACTTGACTAAAATTGTAATTACTAATTAGAACCAAAAATAAAATAAAATCAAATTAAGTGAACTGCTATTCTAAACCAAGTGCAAGAAAAATATTTTTGAAAAGATTTTCTTTTTCAAATAGAGATTCAGTTGATGCAAAAAGTTGAACTACTGACTGGAAATTAATTAAATGAAAGCATTGTAATTTTTTTATGATTTTCTCTTAAGTTTTAGAACAGAAAATTAAAATTCTGATCTAAACAAAAATAAAGAGTAGCAACAAAGATTGATTTTAAAACAGTGTTTAAAAACAAGTTGAATTTCAATTTCCCCTTCCCTCATTTGCTATTAAGTTGCTTTGACAGAAAATAGATGTTGCTTTTTCAACAGTTCCAGCTTAACGAAAATACTCAAACAACCATTGTTTCCCAACAACGGTTTCCCCCATAAATAACATATGATACATCCCTGTGTCATCTGTTATTACAAGACCTTGAAGCACCATTTCCTTAAGTTACATGAGGGTAACTTCATCCTGGAGCCATACCCATCGAAAGATATCTCACTTAATTTTCCATGTGCTTACTGTGAGGTCTAGTGTAGGTTATTTCTCAATAATTCCACACCATTAGGAGTAGCCTATGTGTAGCCATCACATGTCAAACTCAGCATGAAAAATACACAGTAAACAAACTGAAATTGATACTTTAAGTTTAAAACAGTAACTAATAACAAATGAGTTCTGGGTACGCTTTCAACTCAACTCTAAAAGGTTTAGCTCATCACCATAGGTTTATGAGCATACAAACAGCAAAGAGAAATTACAAACATGAATTAAAAAAACTTCGAACAAAGAAAATTAAAAGGCAGAAGCTATATCCAGAGAATAGCTCTGCTACAGTGCTCAGAAAAATTACACAAATTAAAAACCCTAAAAATAGAACAAAATCAGTAAAAATTAAATCTAAAGAGACGAAGAGAAGAAGAGAGCAACCCTATAATGCTTTTCTCCTTCCTTTTATAGTTAATACTCCTTCATGCATAACAGTTCACACTTCAGCCAGCACGTGTGCTCCACGCTCTCCCCAATCGTGCGTTGCCTTTGCAAGGATAGCACCCGCACTCAAAAAGAATCTTTAGCCCACACTCCTAACAAATTACAGCTCACTAAATCAGTTAGGGTAGTGTTTGACTTTTTCTGTATCAAGGAAAATGATTAGGGTCAGTGTGTAGGTTGGTTTGGTTCTCAAAAGGTACCGTGGGTGAGGGCTAAATCTTGCTGGCTAAACCAAAATCAAGGACCAGAATGTCTTGGAGGTTCGATTTGTAGAAAGGAATCCGGATGGGTGGCTTGAGATGGGGTTTGGATATAGGTGGATTTGCTCACATGGAGGCTGTGCTAGGGTTCGCAAGTTTCCTTTTTTTGGTTTCACGCTTCTGAGCCTTTTCCTTTTCCTTTCTTTCTTTTCTTTCTTCAGTTGGGCTTCTGATTTGTTTTGTAATGGTCCAACCCAATTCTTCATTTTTTTTTTCTGTTCTTTGCTTGGACAATGTCACAAGTGGGCCTAAAGAATACAAATACAAGCCCATTAACACTTAAATCATAATCATTCAACTCAATGCATTTGGGGGTTTCTAATAACACAAAAAGTATTCTTTTATTTCCATTAGCATATTAAAACCATATGTTTTAAGTCACATTTCATAGATTTATCAGTCAGCACTGCTCTATGTCACTAATCAGAAGAAAGGTCTATAACATAATTTGAACTCTAATTTTGAAGTAATTTTCATAGTCAGGGCCAGCATTGGGGCATAGCCTTTCCCCGACTTTGAAAATGTCTACAAAAGAGTTTGAAGCTGCAGTAGATATATAAATAAAGTTCCCCTTAATAATTATCAGGATCCATAGATCTCGATGTTATGTTGCTCTAAATTTACATTTTTTGTGGTTATTGTAGTTCTAATATCAACTACTTACCACAATGTCTATGGGTGTAACTTTATTTTTCTTAAACTTCTCGTAACCCCTTATCTAAGTATATAGAGGAATCATATTCATGATAACTACTAGTATCTTATTTTATACATGTATTTTTTTTTCCTTTTATATGTTATACTACACGTGGGAAATTTATTTACAAAAATAGTCATTCGCATTACGGAAAAATATATTAATTAGGAGCTACACAGAAACTAATGTATCATTAAGAATATGTTATTTTACTTACTATTTTTTTTTTGTCTACCACTCTCTTCAAGACCGTTAGATTAGAATCTTAATTATCTTTATCATTTCTTTCTCCTATGGAAATCCTGATTTAATGGTGTTGAAAAATGATAGATAAAGATAAGCAGAAAAAATAATAGATAAAATAACTTATTTCATATCATCGTAGAATAAAAATTTGGAAGTGGAATATAAAAATCAGAAAAATATTTCTGCAGTTACTGCAGAAAAGTTATCTGTGTTTATTTCCAAAACGACGTAGTTTTGGATTGAAATATTAAAAAAATTATAATTATAAAGACTATAATAATCCTAAAATAAATTAAAATTACAAAAATATCATGATTTTCGCGTAAAAACGATCTCGAGCTTTATGCAGAAAAAGCGAATTCTATAAAAACATGTTCAAAAACTTTTTTTTTTATCAAATGATAGTAGGTTGGCACAAGAAAATTGAGCAGGTGAAAGTCAGAATATGTGTTCGATTTGAGAGGTGTTTAAATTTTTAATTTGGCGATTTTCTTTATTTTTATTTTTATTTTAAAAAAAAAAAACAGTATATTAATTTAGTTGGCTCTGGATGCAAGAAGAGAATCCCTCAAATCACGAAAGGATAAAGTGAACCTCTGGCTGTGGGCAATGGCCTCAACCATTCTGCCATCAATCAATAACGTTCACCTTGTTTCCATTAACGCTCATCACAACTCTGCAACTGTCGTCAAGTAAGTTTAGCTTCCCTTTCAGATATACCCATTGCTTTTGCAGAATTCGGTTTGTTTGCCCCAAAAAGATACATTTTTTTATGGAACTGGTTGCGACCCTTTAATCTCATGTACCTTCTTTTCCGTTTTCCCCAATAATTCCACCGCTTTCTTCTTCTCCTTTATATAAATTCGTTTACTTTTTGTTTCCTGCTACTGAAATTGATGTTAAAAATTGAAGATTTGAAATTGTATATTATGCCGACATTTCCTTGACTTAATATTTGGGATATGGGAATTATCTAACTTGCTTCTAATTATTTATGGTTATTTTGTAAAACCATTGTCTATCCAATTTTTTTTTAAGGCAAGCAGAATATGAAAAGATTTGCTTAACCCTATCAAAGGTTTTAGGATTTACTAATTCTCAAATGTGGCAAAAAATGATTTACGCAGGTTTCATTACAAGAATTCTGTTGTGAATGAAATGAATTCTTTTATTATTGAGGTTCCAAAAACACAGTAAAGGATTTGGAGAATTATAATATCTTAATATTGCAAGTTGCCTTAGGAATTCCAATGTCTTTTTCTTTTGTTGAAAATATATTCACCAGCGTAATAGGTGACATTGCGTTGATGTGATATGGATAAGTAGATAACATACCATACAGAGGAAGAGAGCACTGATCTTATTATTGGCACAGAGCATAAGAAAGTTCTGTCTATTCTAACATATAATTGTTGGATTTTCTCAGTGCTTGAAGGAAAATCTGCATGAAAAACCTGCATGGTAAGGACCTTGTTTTGTTATTGCTAATTAATGAGATTAACCTCCTTGTTTTAGGTGGGGATGGAGAAGAGAGCAAGATGGAAGCATAGTTACCAATAGAACCCGGGGTCATGCATTTCAAGTCCTGGCAAATCCCAATGTACGCATAAAGTGAAGATTTCCTAGTGTGTGTGTATTCATTGTTGGTTGAGGAGAACTAAACTAATAAAACTACTGAGATGAGATGTTTCTTTTTGAACTTATGAATTTAAGTAATATTGTTGGAAACTTTCAAGTCATAGGTATGATCTCCTCAAATGGTTATCCACTAGTGTTGTTTTTATGCATTTCATATATATACTAGTTTCTATGATTCTATATTATGGTCTAAACATATACTGACACAAAAATACAAATGGATAGGAAGGAAGTAGTAAATTGAAAATTTAAGAGGATGGCAGGGTATGGAGAACGGTATAAAGTCATATTACGTTAAGGAATACGCAGTTGTGAAATTTGTGGGAGTTATAGCTATAAAAATGTTTAAAATAATGACAGAATAGTGAAGGAAAACCTAGGTTGCATATCCAAAATAGTCTATGTAGCTGAACCCCAATATAATGACTTATGACTTGTGAGTATACTTGTTTTATGCTTAACATAATTACACAATGTAGGTAAATTTACAGAAGAACTTTATTCTTATGTTGAAAACATTCCTAGCTCTCTATAAAATATAATTACTTCTTGCGAGAATATCTGACTTTCTTATAATGTTTGTGTCTCAGTGTTGTTTAATAAAAATCATCATCCTTATCAGTTGCTGCGTATAATTAAAATATGGCTTTGTTGCTGCCATATGGCTTTCTATGAGAAAATAAGGGATGCTAGCTTCTTGTGAAATAATACTCTTAGGCTCGTTTGGTGGACAAGATAGGATAAGGGTAAGATATGATATGGGGCTGATAAGGATAGGATATGATACGGGGCTGATAAGCCTATATCATGTCCTGTGTTTGATGAGCACATGATTAGCAATCTGATAAGATTATGTAGAAAGAGAAAGAAAAAAGAAAAAAGAAAATATAATGCAATAAATACAAATATATTGGATAACGTGAGAATATATTGAATAGCGTGGGGCTATATTGGGTACCTAATATTGGTATCCTATCCTGTTGGATCCTAACCCAGCTCTCCCCATAGGATAAGAAATCATGTATTGGATAGGATAAAATGAGACAATAGGATAAGCTAATCATATCCTATTGACCCACCAAACAAGAGATAAAAGTAGGATATGATAAGTTATCCTATCCTATCTTCTTTATCATGTGCTCCAAACAGGCCCTTAGGCTTTTGCCAGAGCAGTTAATTCTTGAAGTTAATCCGTTTCTAAACCAGTGACTTGCTATACATTAAGGATTTATTTATCTCAGTGTACCTTTTTTGTTCATTTTTTTTAAAGCAATAAACCCATTTTGTAAGTTACAACCTTTCTTGCTAAAACCTTGTTTCTTACGGATATTTAACTAATGTTAATAAATCATATATGTGTTCCAAGTTTTCTTTGTAATATATTCTTTTATGCTCCTTTGATGTAAAATTACCCCTTCTCTTTTTGGCATTTTTACCCCTTCCATTTAATGAGATTTTCGTCTTTTATATTAATAATTATACAGGTATCTTCAGGAAAGGCAGGTTCAAATAATGATGTGATCATGGTTGATCCTGTGGAAGCCAAGCGATTGGCTGCCAAACAAATGGAAAGAATTAAAGCAAAAGAGAAACTCCAGGTAAGAGCAGTCTTATGTTTGAATTTGAATCACATAATTGGGGTTATTGTCATTTATTGTGGAAGTATATAATAAGTTTGGAAGTCATTTTCCTTCCTCTTAATTGTCAGTTAAGATAGAAGGAAACTGAGGAGCCTAACTCTGATGAAACCCTGCTCTTCAATTCACTATAAATTTTACCAACTTAATGCTGTAACTGTAGAGAAGACGTCAAATTGAGGCCATTAATGGAGCATGGGCAATGATTGGTCTCACGGCAGGCCTAGTTATTGAAGGTCAAACTGGAAAAAGTATTCTGACTCAGGTGAAATTTGGAAACACTTCTTTTTTACATGTGCTTGTCCTTAGGTCATACGCATTAAACTTACATGAGTTCAATTAAAGACATGCAGATATGTGTTTTGTTGCAGCGTGCAAGTGTAGAACATGCTGCTTGTCACGTTGCTCATATTTGATATCATTTGACTTGCACGCACACACATATATATGGTGCCATGTTGTAGTGTCCTGTATTTCAGGCACTGTCCTTGTTTGTGTCCGTATTTCATTGGATACATGCAAGCATTCTTGTACACACACCAAACACTGAATTGGGAGACATCTGATATATGGATTACTTTTATTCCATTTGGCTGAAAAATTTCTGTTTAATGTTTTGATATGTACATATTTTCCTTCTTTCAGCTTGAAGACTACTTTGGTGCAGTTATTAACTTTTTTGTGCGGTAGAGTTCTTCCAAGAGGTTCATGAATACATATTAAGAACTGCAGATTCTTTCTCACATTCTTTGTAATTATATCCGTTAAAATTTTACCGTTAAGGTTTTTTCTTCACATACCAAGCCATACAATTTCCACTACTCAGTTTTCCTTGTTACCTGTTAATGCTACATATGTAACATGATTTTACAAAATAATTGAGCAGCTATCCAATTGATATAGTTTGATATGGCTGTTTGTCTACTCATGGTTTTTCCCTGGTCTGACAGCATTTCTTGTTTAATTCTTAATACATTTTATTTCCTTACAACTCTTTTGTCTGATATCAAAACTAATTAAAATAAAACAAGAGGGAGGATATTCTTACTACCAAAATTTTTCACTACTAATTTACTACCCACCCAATCACCATTGGATCAAAGAGAGAGAATGCTATAAAGTTTTTGAAGAGAGAAAAAATATTAATCCAATGATGATTAGATAGGTAGTAAGTTGGTAGTGAAAATTTTTTGTAGTGAAAATATCTCTCCTCATAAAACAATACTCAGGTTTTTCCAATTTTCATTATGTCGGTGACTACATTGTTACCAAAAGTGAGCTGGGGTTTATATCTGAAACTGTGACTATAATTGAGATATTAGGATCGATTCCCCATTCCTTCTGGTGCCTGTGTTACTTTGAATTCTCAGTTCTGAAGCAAGTTATTGAAAGGGGTAGGCTACGACATACAGGTTATATATGATTGTGGAGGAACCGTACTATACTATACTGCTTTGAGAAAGGCATTAGAATAATAGAATTTTGGATTTGAAAATCTTCTTACATGTTTGCGTATTTATTGGAAGGGAAATGTTTTGTGTGCACAGATCCTCACATATAGTAATGTGCACCATTCAAGTGCTGAATAAACGGAATAAATGGAGAATGATGGAAAAAATAATTATAATGATTACGTTTTTGTGAGGTCTATAAGAGATTTTTTTTTTCGTTAAAGTAACATTACCGTTAATAGCAGCCTTCTTTACAGAGCGGGTATGATATGGCCCAAAACTTTGGAAGCTGCACAAAAACATTGGACCAAGATGCCCATTTCAATTTTCAAAAGAAAGAAAGAAAAAAAGATGGACATATTTCAAAACTCTAGAGCTGAACCACAGCATATAGTGTTAACGTTTAACAGCCACAGGTAAACCCAACTGGAACGGCTAATAAATATTTTTTTTCAATAACACTTGTTTGTGAGAGATTTTTCGGTATTACCAGTTTTAAAATTATCTTCTTATATTGTTTCTTTGAGGGTGTGTCACGTAAACTTTTTTTTTATTGACAAACATTATTCAGGTATGAATAGTGGAAGACAAAGGTCAGTTTTATATTTCATCATAGAAATTGTAAGATTGTACCCAAACCAATCAATTCATTACAACTCGGCATATGAAAGTTGACATCAGTTTATTTAATTTATATTGTCTTCAAAATTTTACAGCTGTCTTAACAATAAAATTAATGAATGGTTGTGCACAATTTTAAGTGATGCTATAGGATAATTAGCTCTCTAAATTTTAAATAAAGTTATCCAAACCTGTGCAAGAGTAATAGTCGACTTGGGCTTTATTACAACCCCCAATAGACCACTAAATTAAAACCGGCCGGTCATTGACCGGTCGATGTACCGGGTCAGTGGGTCACTGGTTCAACCGCATAACTTGGTAATTATATACAATTTTATAATTTATATTAAAAAATTATAAATATACTGAAATATCTAAAAAAATAATAAAAATTTCAAATATTTTAATATAAAAAATAATAAATCACATACTATTATCCAATAAAGAATCAAATAAAAATATAATGATCGTGATACAGGGCTTTTAATTCAGAAAATGACATCTCTAACTATAAATCAAATCAAAATTTTCTACATAATGCACAATTGAGATAATATTAGTGTTGTAGGTGTGTAACTTAGGTAAGTCAATAAACAAAAAAATATTCAAATATGTCAATTATGATTTTTTTTTTGAAAAAAAAAATTTGCAATTTTTTTTTAGGAACGGGTCGGGTCACCGGTTAACCGACCGGATCACCGATTTTCATGAAAACGTCTGGGTCGCACCGGTTCTGGTGCATGGCCGATTCGTTGCTTCAACCGAACCGGTTATAAGACCGGTTTACCGGTTCCCAGGTTAATAACTATGCACCTTTTTATTAGGTGTGTTATGCTATGGATATGTTATTCTATCTATTTCTTTTGGAAAGAGTGTGTATCATTTTAAATGATGTAAAATTGTGTCATTTTAAGTGAGAGAAAGAGATAGATAAAAGAGGAGAGAGAGTTGACAAAAATATATAAAGGTGTGGGTCCCATCTCTTTGTGAGAGTGAAAGGATATAAGTTGTGTCATTTAAAAGTATAAACAATTTTTCCACTTCTTTTTAATGTCTATTTTGTCTATTATTTTTCAAGTAGATCAGAATATCAACTAATCTTTATAATATCTCTCATCTTGAGATTCTGATGTAATAATATTGGAAAATGATAGAGAAGACCGGAAGATAAATCTGAAAAAGAGGTAAGTAGAATAAATTATCCAATAAACAAATGTTAAATAGTGGAAATAAGTTTTCATGAAATGACTTCCGACATCATAATTGGTTAAGCATTCATAGCAATTTTCATATAAATTTGTTTATGCCAAATAATGTTATTGACAAAGAAGAAGATATCGCGGCGAATTCAAGATTTTATTCCTTTGTGTTTTGCTTTTCCTAATGTAAGGAAAACACTTGAAAGATTTCTTTCGCTAAGATCAAATATTTAGTTTTAAATTTTAAACAAAGTTGGGTCCCTTTCAGACACAGATTTTCGTTTAAGATTAGGATCTAATGTCATCAAAGTAATCTTAATGCCGTATATCGATATCGGGAGTTGGAAATAACTAGGAAAAGACCCCCAATGCCATAGAAAGTTGCTAGTATTGCTCTAGAAAGATAGCCACAGAAAACAACGAACTTTAAGGTACTGTTGCGGCATTATTCCATTATTCTCTTTTTTAAAAACGATATCAATACTCAAGTTAGTTATAAAATACTTACCACTTAATAATTATATTTAATGAAAGTTATAATTATTTATAATAAAATAAAACTCACTCTAAATATAACAATATCCTTGTAAGATGTAGGTACCATATACACTTATTATCTTTGATCTATGAATTTTAACATTGGACTTTTCGATGACTTCAAAACAATGATTAACCTATATTTACATTCGTCAAGGAACAAAAAGAATAACAAAGTAATAGAAAAGTAAAGCATAGTACCAAAAAATGATAGAAAAAGCTAGTCATGGTCGTAACCATATACTTTGCCATGGCCATACTCGGTGGTTAAGGGGGCTGCTTTTTAAATAAATAAGTGGCTTTTCTTTTTTGGCGTCTGCTTTTATCAAATTCCGTAACATGTTCTGGGACATTGACTTGCCGTGTTAAAGGTGTGGAAGATATACCACAACACAACAAATGGGAATAAATTAAGTTCGAATTGCATTTATGTGTATTTTCATGGAAATGGTAACATTTCGAGTCCACCAGCTATCTCTAACAAGACCGAGTTACGTAAATGGAAAACCACCTATGGTCCCCTTTTCAATGGGCCACGCCCGGTATAAAGTATAAACAAACATTCAACACTCTGACATATCTTATGTGGACAAACATCCCCAGTTGAATACTGCTTCATATAAAAAATGAACTCTTTTTAGGTTTAAAATGACATCAATCACCTTTCCTATGCTCAATTTCTGTTGCATGAGGGAGGCACTCCCTCAAATAATGACTGGTTCTAAATCCAAAAAACTTTGATATTTACATATCAATATTTTTACCTTTTCTGTTATTAGAAAAATATAGATAAAAAGTAAGTATGTCATATCATATGTGTGTTAAAATGTATTTTATCTTAATCTATTAACAAATAAATAATATAATAAAAAAATGTGTAAATAACATCATTGAAACTCAAATTAAGCCTTGAAATATCGATCTCTCAAGATTGCAGCCGGAACTTCAGAGATAGCTGAGAGGATTTGACATTGTGTATGGCAATTTCGGTTTCAGAGTTCCAAAAAAATGAAAAGAAAAGGGAAGGATAGATTAACTTTTACTATTCCAATCTGGTCCCCACCCCACCCCAACAAAAATCATAAGATAAAAGGACCGTAAGCAATTTTTTTTCTTATTTTCTTTTCTTCAACAAATTTTGGCAATAGTTGAGATTGGACATTTCAATTTAAAATTTCACAGTTATATTTCATTATATTTTTGAAAAAATAGGGAAAATATCTATGGTGTCATTTAGACCATAATTTTTCCAAAGTTCATGATTATGGTACATGTTAGGAGCGATTATATTTGTGAAAAGAGAATAGACTTTTTCCATTGTGTAATGGGAATAGACGAGAATTTTGCATTGGGTAGATAGATATTTGTATAAAAATGACAAACAACAAAAAGTAAAGTAAAAAAGAATAGTTCATATTTGTTGAATCCGTGGGTCAACAAAAGCAGCAGCTTCCTAGGAATTAAGGGGGCGTTTGGTACAGGAGAAATTTTTTTTTATCCGGGAAACAATTATCACCGGAATGTAGCAGGAAATATATTTTACTGAAATATTAATAAAAAGTTGTTTGGTAGACCCATATTTTCCTGGGAACATTTGAATAATTTTACTGAGTGTGTGTTTGGTTGATTATGAAATATTAGTGGGAATATGAGGTTATTTTACCAAAATAACCCCACATTTAGCTTTTGATTCAAATATTGGTGCATACAGGTACGTTGGCCTTAAGAAAATAACTTATGGTCTAACATTGAGATCAGCAAAAAAATGGAACATTACGGTGCAACCAATTATGTAGTTCATTGGAGGAAGCTCATACACATCATGTATAGGAAACCCACGAACAAGCTTATTGGTGCTGTTGAAACTCAATGCAAAGGAACACTTTTACATTTGTGGCTGTCACGAGTTTAAGCTTTTCGTTATATCCAGCTATTCCTACTCTTAGTAATTTGGCCAGAGACAATTTTAGCAGAGGAAGGTGAAGAGGATGAAGAAAGGTAACCTCTGCAAGCTACAACCTTCTTATCACACAAGGTTATTTTGGTCCAATATTGGTGGTTCCTTTTTCACGTTTCCGGACAAAAAAGTATTCTACCTAA